ACTCTACTTTTCAAAAGTTTGGGGTCAATATGATTTTTTATGTTTTTGAAAAAGTCACTTATTTGATAAAAAAAATACAGCAAAAAAAGTAATATTATTACAATTTGAAACTCCTGTTTTCCATTTTTATTTCTTTTTTTAAAGTTAATTTATGTAATTCATTGAGCTTTCAGCATCATTTCTCCAGTGTTCAGTCAGTGTCACATGATCCTTGCTGCTCAATAAACATTTCTTCTTATTATATCTTCTTATTTACAATGTTGAAAATGCTTAATATTTTTTTGTGAAAACTGATATGTTTATTTCTGGATTATTTGATGATTAGAAAGCTCAAAACAACATTGCTTTATTTGAAATAGTTTTTTTTTTTTGTAACATTATAAAAATGCCTTTACTGCCATCTTACTGACCTCATGCTTTTGAACAGTAGTTCAACAATAAGCTAATTTCTTCATACATGACACTCTCTCAGGTGTCTCCTCGCAAGATATCTCCAGTCCAGGCAGGGGAAGGTCCGGTCGGAGTCGAGGACGACCCAAAGGCTCTGGAGGATCAGGCAAGTGTTCTGTGAGGAAGGGAAGAGGCCGGAAGTCCAGCGCGGGCAGTGCTGCAGCCATGGCAGGAGCGATGGCAGGGGCGGCAGCGGCCTCAGCGGCGGCCTATGCTGCGTACGGCTACAGTGTACAGTCCAAAGGTAGCACATTTGACTTTGACTAACAGAACCGCTGGTGAAAACTAAGGCCTATAATAGTTCATCCATTGTTATTCAACTTCTCTTCCAGGTATTCCAGCAACTGGCTCTGTGCAACCGACTCTCATTCGGTCTTCAACCACACCTGGCTTTGTTCCAGCTGGCACCTCCTCCCCCCAGGCTAAAGGAAGCGCTGTGACCACCAACTCACAGACTTCAGCGCATGGCAGTTCACAAAGCCAACACAACCCCACTAAAAGAAGCAAACTACCAAGCAACCACAGTGGGCGGTAGCTGCTTGTGAACCCTTGCTTTTTGATTGTAGCATGGCCAGTACATTTTCAGTCCCAGGTTGACGATTCTCACGCTTATGATGTTGAGCCGCTATAACACCACAAGCCCTACTGTCACTGTGAAACCCAATCCCATGCCCACACCCAACTGAGCATCTATTTCAGTGGCTGGTGAGCAATATGGGAGGTTGTGCACTAGAAGCAAAAAGAGTCATCGAGAATTGTATCTTCAGTATATGAGGTTTAGCTCATTTATCCATTTATCCCAGAAAATGACCAAGGGTTTGTTATTCCAGCAATGGCTCTTTTTCGTTTTCAAATGACCATGTTAGCACATGGCAGCATGGCTGAATGAAGGTGTTTTCTTCGTCTTCTGGCACGTCATGAGATCTGAGTTCTGCGTCATTATCAGCAGAGAGGAGTTGAAATGGGAACAGGGAGGGATGTTGTTATTAAACACCGCCTTGAACAAAGTCTTTACCTGAACTCATATGAACAGATGAGACTGCTTTTGTAAGATTGCTATTATTTTTGTAGGACAGACTTGTTGACATTTGTTCAGTTTAAATACCGAATGGCCTTCTCTTTCTGTGTTTATTTGCTGCAAATTCAAAGATTTTGGCTTAAATACTAATATATTTTCTCTTGGGAAGAATAAAAGAAATCAATGTTTTTTGTAGTAAATGCAATGAAAAAACATCTGAAGTGAGTGCTGCTCGAAAAACAAAGTCACTGCTCAGATCGTGACTTAAAAATACTTGTGAAATGTAACATAGCTTAAGTTAAAAGTTTGTAATTTATGATGATCTGTGCTAGTTGTAAATTGTATTGAATCTGTTTTATTTTTAAATAACATGATGAAATTTCCATCATTTTGTTGCATTCGTGACAAATGGCTTGTTCGTTTTGAGAATGGCCATTTCTGGGTTTATTTTGTCTTTAAATTGTGATGATAAATGTTCTATGTATGTAAATAATTTAAGGGTATCATCCCTTTCAAAGTTCTCCATTTGCCCCCAGTTGCTTGTCTATTTTTATAGGTCAGTGTAAATACCTAAAGAAAAAAACCCAAATGGTCCTTTTACTAACTTGAAGAAAAACTAAATAAACATTGATTCAATGATTTGAAATTTTCCCAGTGGGATTTGATGCTTGATAAATCTTTTCCCCTATACAGGTTACCAATTTACTGCTGAATCTTACAAAACTATTCGTTTTTAAAATACAAGTCTACTTGAGCTATAAGTAGAGCAAAAACACTTATGCCATTGAGCTCTCAGGTTCAAACCTCATTCTTACATATTTAACTGTCATGATTCTGCCATCATGTCTTTGATTTTTCTAGTCTTGTGGCAGGATCATGGCAGACCCATGTTTTGTGTACAAGCACTTGGCCTTTTGCTCGGGCCATGTGCTTCTGTTGTCTCGTTACGTAACCCCACCCCCTTGTTATCCTCGTCTTGTCATTATTGTCTAGTCAGTTTCACCTGTTCTTGTCATTAGTGTCTCCCTTTATTATCCCCTTTTGTTTGCTGTCCTGTGTCGGTTCATCGTCAAAACTGCGTGTTTCTCTTTGTGAGTATCTTGTTTAAGAAGAAAGTCTTGTTTTGTTCTCTATCTTGTATTTACTGCCAGTCTAGTCTTGTCAAGTGTTTTCTAGTTTAGTCATTTCTGTTCCAGTTCTTTTTTGCCCCCTCGTGGGTTTTGTTTTCCCTGTTTTTGTCAATTAATCCTCCGATGATCTTCCTTTTATGAGGCATGTCCTGGGCCTTCCTCAACTCATACTTCATCGCAGGTCTCAATGGTCATCTTCCTTTGTCTGAACGGGAGGGGCTGATCCGCCGTCCGTTTCAGGAGGTGGTGGACTGTTTGTCTCAGAAGGAGTCAAAGGCAGCATCCACAGGGTCTTCACCTTCTGCCTGGCTGCCAGCTATTCCTGAGGGTCGAATGATGGGCGTCGCGACGCTTGCGGACCAGGCTGGTTCCCCCACGACTCCTGGCATTGAGATTCTGAGGTTCTCCTTGTGAGTACCTTGTCTAAGAAAAAGTCTTGTATTCTCTATCTTGTATTTACTGCCAGTCTTGTCAAGTGTTTTCTAGTTTAGTCATTCCTGTTCCAGTTCTGTTTTGCCCCCTCGTGGGTTTTGTTTTCCCTGTTTTTGTCAATTAACCCTCTGATGGTCTTCCTTTTATGAGTCACGTCCTGGGCCTTACTCAACTCATACTTCATCGCGGGTCTCAATGGTCCTCTTCCTTTGTCTGAACGAGAGGGGCTGATCCGCCGTCCATTTCAGGAGGTGGTGGACTGTTTGTCTCGGGAGGAGTCAAAGGCGGCGTCCACGGGGTCTTCACCTTCTGCCTGGCTGCCAACTATTCCTGAGGGTCGAATGATGGGTGACGCTTTTGGAAAAGGCTGGTTCCCCCACGACTCCTGACACTGAGATTCTGAGGTTCTACTTGTGAGTACCTTGTTTAAGAAGAAAGTCTTGTATTGTTCTCTATCTTGTATTTACTGCCAGTCTTGTCAAGTGTTTTCTGGTTTAGTCATTCCTGTTCCAGTTCTGTTTTGCCCCCTCATGGGTTTTCCCTGTTTTTGTCAATTAACCCTCTGATGGTCTTCCTTTTATGAGTCATGTCCTGGGCCTTCAGAAGTGACTGGAGGCCTAAAAATAAAACATCTTCCATCCCAGTAAAACCAATGCAATTTATTTTTCATGTATACTATTTATTCTTAAGTTTTGTACTTTCAGAATTGGATTGAATATATTAATATGTATACAATATTTATGGTCTATTTGTTCAATGGAAGTATATATTTTTTTAAACATTATTAATGCAGTATTTTTGTTTAATATAGAGTCTAGGTAGCGTAGAATCATGGTGTAACTACTATATGGCATGTACAGCTCTCTATGGAGAGGCATGTGAATTCCCCAGCTGTTTATGAACAATTTATTTATTTTTTTTTTTTGGTGGATTTGAATATATAATTGAAACAATCTCAAATTATTTCTTATTAAAAAAAATTAGAATTTTTGTGTGTTTGTTAATTTCCCATTCATTTGCTATGGGGGTCATTTTTGACCAAAGACCAAAATCGTGACTAATTTTTTTTACGACATTTCGATGAAGCTGTGATTTTTTAAAAACTCAAAAAAAATGTTTGTAGTATGAATTTATTGGTTTGTATAAAACTGGGTGTAAATTTTTTGCACTCTTGATATTGTAGAGTGTCACCCCTTTACTGCGGTGTACTTCTTTTAAGAATCGTGGCTGATTTGTAGATTCAGAGAATAGGGGATTCTCATGCTTCCGGGTTTCATGGGTGGGATTTGTCAACTTTGTGCATGTCCAGTTCTGACGCAGTTCAACAATGCCAGAGACAAATGCTATTTATGTCACTACTCTGTTCCACTTTGTAAATCTAGCCAACAACGCCAACCCTACTTAGGTTTTCATGGATTCCCGACTGAATTGAGTATAAGGAAGAAATGGATTAATTTTAAAATAAAACAAGATAGCATGTTTGTTTGCAGCTGGCACTTTAGGGAATCAGACTAATTTACCAGGGGTGCTGTATAAAGATCACAGAATCCGGAAGTACTACGTATCAGCGTGATGGTCCCCTATTTTATTTTATTTTTTTTGTAAATTTCCCATTCATTTCCTCTTGGTCAGTCATTTCTGACCTTAAGTCCACGAGTGTGACTTTTTTTTTTTTTTTTACGACCATTTAGCATGCTTGGATCATGACCTCAATTTTTTTTTTTTGTATTCACATAAGAAATGCCAAAAGTCACTAAGTATCATAACCTTCCGAAGCTTCCCAACCTTCTGAAGGCGTGATTATTAATAATTCAAAAGAGAAAATTATTTGACCAGAAGTGACCAAGGACTATCAGAGGGTTATTAAACGTTGTCACTGCATCCTGTCTGCGCCTGACTTCTCCTTCCATATTCATGACATGACAAACATACCGACTTCATTTCACAACAGACACACTTGACAACAAGGATACAGGTTCGTTGAATGTTTAATGTGCAAAAGGACAACAATTATAATGGCATTACAGCATTCTACTTCAGTGCAAATTAAAATGTTTTGAGGTGTCATGCCCACATATTTGAAATAAAATGCTAACGGCTTTAGAACTTGACAAACTTTGGCAATACATTGTCACAAGCATGTGTTTGTACTACAGCACCACATACTTCAAGAGCACATGACGAAAACTGACAGTATACATCTCGCACCATAGAATCAAAATAAGAACAACCAAAAATACCATGCTCCCTTAATGCAGTACCTTTACTGTAAATGTTTGAACACAGCCACTAAAATCACAATTATACCCCAAGGATGGCAATGCTAACTTTGTCAGGAGGACCTTAATGGTGTTTGGCTAAGATGCTGATAGCTTCAGTGACATGTTTAGTGTTTATTAGAAGATACAGGTTTCTGAGATGCTAACAATATGGGTCTAATGGTGGCAAGAACAGCTGCCTCAATAGAGAACAGGTGAGGGTCATCGACATCAGGGCAGCTGACTCTCATGAACTCCGCAAGGCGAAGCAGGTACTCGATGTTGTGGCCTGACTTCCCCTTGCACACAGCGATCTGAGCGGCTATTTCCTCTGTACTTGCAGGACCCAGGTAAATGGGGTTGTCAGCTGTGGCGATGTACACCAGAGCCTGGACAGGTGACTGATTCATGCCCTGCGGAAAGAAATCTAAGGCCTGGGTCAGGTAGCCTCCTCTCACCGACTCCCTCACGTTCAGGTACTTGAGAGACTCTTCGACCTGAGAACCAGTCACCTCGAAGGCAACACCCCAGGTACATGCCTGTGTACAAAAATGCAAGGTTAGTCACATATAGTGAGGAAAACAAACATTTAAAAGGGACAGTTCACCCAAAAAAATGATTATTTAAAAAAAAATCAGTTCACAACGTGTTGTTCCAAACCAAAAACGTTCTGAAAAATTAAAAGTTTTTAGGGTATAATGACAGCCTCAGTCAATTATTTTCATTACATGTTTTCTCTATACAACGAAAGTGAATGGAGACTGACACGGTCATTGAATTTAATATCTTTCGTGTTTTGCGGAAATCAGTCATGGGTAAATGGAAAAATCATGCCCACAAAATGTGACGTTTCTCTGAGGTCTACATTCATAGCATTGTTCCTATAAAAAGGGGAAGTTGCACTTACGTCATCCTCCTCGATGAGCGTCACCACTCTTCCGGGCTGTTATGGAAACACGAAAATGTCAATGAGTTGCAATGGGAGACCTGTTCAGCTATTTATTGTGCGTTCTTCTTAGCAAAATAAAATATATATTTAAATGGAAAACTTACCATTTCATCATCTCCACGATGAAAATTATCTCCGTGCCAGAAGCGTCTCTTGTACCCCTTTATATAACCGACCTTGCTCCTCTTGTACTTGAAGTCTGGTTTCCAAACCAACGAGCCGTAACCGAAGATCCACAAGCTGGATTTTACAGCGACGACGTCTTGGGGTTTCATCTTAATATGGTATGAGAATAGGACGGGTATAATTTGTAACGTTACGGTTTGATGTAACAGCAAACGTTAGGAGAATGGGCCCACAGGCTAACTAGCTAACGTTAGCTTCCTCCTGTCAAGTAGGAGAGGTATCGGTTGGCTCACGGCTATACCACGGACGGTATTAGAGCCCAACTGCTCGGCAGTTGTGATGGTGCAGTCCCGCAAATCGCTTTTCTGTGCCTGGTGCATGCCGATGCCGTGCAGTTACCGCATCATTGCCTTAAAAATCCATCTCGGCCTCTTCGGCTCTTTTCAATTCGAATAAAACACAAAAGCTGTTGCTAGCTCACCAGCCAGCCTCCTATTTACTAACAAACCGCTAACCAGCCAGTCACACGACTCATTATATTCAGAAGAAATAGCCCTTTGATGGTTGTTTTCGGGAACCCAAGGTTGCCGTGCTGCTTTTCCTCTTCAGCGGATGATGAACCGTGGACTGCTTTGAAGAACGCTTTATGCGAGATGTCTATGGGCGTATCTGACCTTGCTCAAAATTCGGACCAATCATTAGCGTAGATAGGGCGGGGCGTCCTGCCTTCTATCCAACCAATTCGCCTCGCTGTGACTCTTTAAGCGCATAACTGTCTGATTGGCTCACGAACCCGGAACAAACTTGTTTAATTGACTCATTTCATAGGCGTGCTAGCAGTCAGTCACAGAAAACTCTGCACGCTCATTCGCCAGCAGTTCTGTCGCTCAAAGTCTGCTCGGCTGATGCAACTTGAAACAAGCGTTTCAAGCCGCATGCGATAGTACAGGCACAGTACGTACTGAGACTTTTGAGGAGAGTATTGCATCAGTCCTCCCAAGAATGTTTTTTTTAGACCGAGTCAGGCCTCATACAAGGTATCAGATTATAAGAAGTCTTCATTGGAAAATTATATAATAATTTATATTATTTTAGTATGAAAATGAAGTGTAACTCAGCGTGTCGGGCAAACTAATAATATAATATGAAGAGAAAATAAGATAGTTTTGCACAGACCATATCCACCAATTCCTTTTTTTTTTTTTTTTGCTTTAAATGCAATTGTCTAGTCAAATTGCCATATGAAACGGCAACATCCTTGAAACATCCATTCAGTTGTATCCTATCATGACTGCTGAGGCAGATTAGTTTCTTCCTGAAGATCTTTTAAGCTATGGCATCGGCTTGTATTTTAGATCTCATTTGTCTGTAATCTCCATGACATATTTCTCCATGACATATGCATTTCTAATATTTCTACAAATCCGTGGCATCCAATGCTATACCTGTTGGTTTCCACTGTGACAACCACACATGTTCATCTCTAGTTGTTTACATCTCATGTTCTCTTTATTTACAAATTATGATAAAGTTAAGGTTATCTGTACCTTAAACTCGGAAAGAACCCAGTACATGTTGTTTGTCCTTTGAGTTGCATCATGTTCTCTGCAAAACAAATATTTATGTACTGGGTTTTTTTTTTTGTCTTTATGATTCAGTGTTATTGCATTAATATATTTGCATAATACTGAGTCAATCAAAGGTATTTGACCAGGCTGAGAAAAACAACATGTCAGCATCATAATTAAGACTTGTGATCAGACTTGTGAGCTCAGTAACGTCACAGTTCCTTTGTCAGCCCTGCTTGGGAATTGCGTTTTTAGGTTGACACCTTTTATCAGCCAAGTTCCGAAGCCATTAGACACACTGACTCAACTCCTTGACAATGAGGATAGTTACAGGGGTTGGACAATGAAACTGAAACACCTGGTTTTACAACACAATAATTTGTTAGAATGGTGAGGGCCTCATTTTGCATCCAAATACAGCACCAATTGACAGATAGAAGTCCTTCACAGTGACCAGAGGGATTATGAGCCATTCCTCTTCCAGAACAGTGTCCAGGTCACTATATGATGCTGGTGGACTCGCTCCTCCAAAACACCTCAATAATATTCAGATCTGGTGACTGTGCAGACCATGGGAGATGTTCAATGTCACTTTCATCTTCATCAAAACCTTCTGTCACAAGTCTTGCTGTGTGTGTTGGTGCATGATCATGCGGTTTGAGCATCAGGTGCTCATGATCCTCCAGAAGGGTTTGGTAGTCCTCGGCAGTGTCGTGTCCATCAAATACTATCAGGATTGTCATGATATTGGAGCTCAAACCATCACTGATCCACCCGTGCTTCACTCTGAAGATTGGCCGCCAGGCATATAGATGTGAAACCTCCAACATTGGCCAGTGTTTCAGTTTCACTGTCCAACCCCTGTATTTTTCTAATTTTATTATATTGCAAACTAACATTTTCAATTAAACATTGAATGTCACAAGAATTGGATGAATGAAAATATTATTTGTCATTTTTGCTGCTATTTTCTTGTTCAGTTCAGTTTCAGTTGATAAACAAAACCCCCCTCGGCCCCCTGCCACTCCCGGACATTTCCTGTAGCTTAGGCTTTTATTTGGTTAAAATAGGATTATCTATAAATAGAGGTATTAGCTGGCATCATAAGATACAAGCACATGTAAGCTCCTTAAAAGTCTGCATGATGCACAAGCCTTTCTATAGCTCAAGCAGACGGGGGAGCTCCTGTGACCAGACCTTTCATGAGACAGCCTGTTTACTTTCTCTAGCGCAGAGACCTTAGACTTGGACACACTAGCCCCCGCTGACCTTATGTGAGTGACAAATACAGAATGGAAAGAGGGTCATGTGAATTGCACACTTGCCTTTTGTTTATGGCCATTAATAACAAATTTCTTAAAGCTTACCGTTGCTCAAATTCCTGAAACAATTTAACAGCATAATTGATTGAGTGTGTGTCTTAATTACCATAATTGTGCTGTAACTGATATGTGATTTGAAAAAGCAAATTATTTTAAAAGTGAATGACAATTGGATGTTCATGCTGCTTACTGGTTGTCGTGTAAGTTTGAAATTCTGTTGATGACCAGATGATAGTTTCAGTCTAAAACATACCAATACTATGTCCTGCAGGGAATTTGCACCAAAGAAAAACAACCAGAGCCAGAAAATCTAAGAAAATACACATTCCATATGCTTAACCCATTCAGACCCTGTGTCTATTACAATGGACATCACATGTCAGCCAGAGTTTTGAGAAGATTGGGGAAACTTAATTTTTGGCCCCCCCAAAAAAAACGTAAGGGGTACCACTGTCGTTTTTTTTTTCAGGTCGAAATTTAGAGTTTCGATATCTCAGCTCTGGAAGGGTCTAGAGCCTCCATTTTTGCACTCAGGACTAAGTCTCATGGCCCTCTATCAGAATCCAGAGTTTTGAGAAGATTGGGGAAACTTAGTTTTTGCCCCCCCAAAAAAAACGTAAGGGGTACCACTGTCATTTTTTTTTCGGGTCGAAATTTTGAGTTTCGATATCTCAGCTCTGGAAGGGTCTAGAGCCTCGATTTTTGCACTCGGGACTAAGTCTCATTGCCCTCTATCAGAATCCAGAGTTTTGAGAAGATTGGTGATACTTAATTTTTTGCCCCCCCAAAAAAAACGTAAGGGGTACCACTGTCGTTTTTTTTTCGGGTTGAAATTTTGAGTTTCGATATCTCAGCTCTGGAAGGGTCTAGAGCCTCCATTTTTGCACTCAGGACTAAGTCTCATGGCCCTCTATCAGAATCCAGAGTTTTGAGAAGATTGGGGAAACTTAGTTTTTGGCCCCCCAAAAAAAACGTAAGGGGTACCACTGTCGTTTTTTTTTCGGGTCGAAATTTTGAGTTTCGATATCTCAGCTCTGGAAGGGTCTAGAGCCTCCATTTTTGCACTCAGGACTAAGTCTCATTGCCCTCTATCAGAATCCAGAGTTTTGAGAAGATTGGGGAAACTTAATTTTTGCCCCCCAAAAAAAAACGTAAGGGGTACCACTGTCGTTTTTTTTTCGGGTTGAAATTTTGAGTTTCGATATCTCAGCTCTGGAAGGGTCTAGAGCCTCCATTTTTGCACTCAGGACTAAGTCTCATGGCCCTCTATCAGAATCCAGAGTTTTGAGAAGATTGGGGAAACTTAAATTTTGGCCCCCCAAAAAAAACGTAAGGGGTACCACTGTCGTTTTTTTTTTCAGGTCGAAATTTTGAGTTTCGATATCTCAGCTCTGGAAGGGTCTAGAGCCTCCATTTTTGCACTCAGGACTAAGTCTCATGGCCCTCTATCAGAATCCAGAGTTTTGAGAAGATTGGGGAAACTTAATTTTTGGCCCCCCCAAAAAAACGTAAGGGGTACCACTGTCGTTTTTTTTTCGGGTCGAAATTTTGAGTTTCGATATCTCAGCTCTGGAAGGGTCTAGAGCCTCCATTTTTGCACTCAGGACTAAGTCTCATGGCCCTCTATCAGAATCCAGAGTTTTGAGAAGATTGGGGAAACTTAATTTTTCGCCCCCCCAAAAAAAACGTAAGGGGTACCACTGTCGTTTTTTTTTCGGGTCGAAATTTTGAGTTTCGATATCTCAGCTCTGGAAGGGTCTAGAGCCTCCATTTTTGCACTCAGGACTAAGTCTCATGGCCCTCTATCAGAATCCAGAGTTTTGAGAAGATTGGGGAAACTTAATTTTCGCCCCCCCAAAAAAAACGTAAGGGGTACCACTGTCGTTTTTTTTTCGGGTCGAAATTTTGAGTTTCGATATCTCAGCTCTGGAAGGGTCTAGAGCCTCCATTTTTGCACTCAGGACTAAGTCTCATGGCCCTCTATCAGAATCCAGAGTTTTGAGAAGATTGGGGAAACTTAATTTTTCGCCCCCCCAAAAAAAACGTAAGGGGTACCACTGTCGTTTTTTTTTCGGGTCGAAATTTTGAGTTTCGATATCTCAGCTCTGGAAGGGTCTAGAGCCTCCATTTTTGCACTCAGGACTAAGTCTCATGGCCCTCTATCAGAATCCAGAGTTTTGAGAAGATTGGGGAAACTTAATTTTTCGCCCCCCAAAAAAAACGTAAGGGGTACCACTGTCGTTTTTTTTTCGGGTCGAAATTTTGAGTTTCGATATCTCAGCTCTGGAAGGGTCTAGAGCCTCCATTTTTGCACTCAGGACTAAGTCTCATGGCCCTCTATCAGAATCCAGAGTTTTGAGAAGATTGGGGAAACTTAATTTTTCGCCCCCCAAAAAAAACGTAAGGGGTACCACTGTCGTTTTTTTTTTCGGGTCGAAATTTTGAGTTTCGATATCTCAGCTCTGGAAGGGTCTAGAGCCTCCATTTTTGCACTCAGGTCTAAGTCTCATGGCCCTCTATCAGAATCCAGAGTTTTGAGAAGATTGGGGAAACTAAATTTTTCGCCCCCCAAAAAAAACGTAAGGGGTACCACTGTCGTTTTTTTTTCGGGTCGAAATTTTGAGTTTCGATATCTCAGCTCTGGAAGGGTCTAGAGCCTCCATTTTTGCACTCAGGACTAAGTCTCATGGCCCTCTATCAGAATCCAGAGTTTTGAGAAGATTGGGGAAACTTAATTTTTCGCCCC